CCCCAGGCACCTCCCGAAGCCACCAAACAGGGGCGGGGGACACGGAGCAAGGCCAGCAGCTGGTGTCTGCGGTGGTCTCTGCCCTCCTGGCCCTGGGGAGCGGGAGCTCGCCCAGCCGGGGGGTCCCCGGGCAGGAGATGTCCGTGCGCGGTGAATCCAGGCGCTGAGCTCGGGGCGCCTGGCAGACCCAACCCCGGGTGCCCCCGTGAAGACGGGGAAACTGAGGCAGGGATGGCGAGAGCCCCAGGTCCGGCCCGCTGACGTGAGCAGAAGGCCCGTCAGGCTGTTGGGCCATTTGACACCCGCCGTGGCCCTCGCTTGCCTGGTTTACACCCCTGCCAAGCCGGATCGATCGGCAGAGCTCCTTGGCACTCGCCCCCCCCTCCCTGTGCGCGGGCTGCGGCCGCAGCTGCTCGGCCACGCTGCAGTGTGGTTATTCATCACCTCAGAGCGCTCCAATTATGTTTCTCTTGCACCTCAGTCACCTTGGTGGCTGCCTGTGAAGTTTCCAATTCATTTTAAAATGCTTCTCATAACCCCAAGTCCCTTCCTGGCCCTGACTCATTCTCCCTTGCCAATTCCTTTTGCCTCTGTCCAGGATGTTCAGGGCTGTGACAGCCCAGCCACGGGCACGGCACAGGCAGCACCCCTGGTGCAGCACACTCCTCTGCACCAAGCCACGTTAAAATAATTTACGTTTTCCCAAGGGTTTTAATTATCACAACCATCTCATTTTACTGTGCAGAGCCGCTTTGCACCCTGGTACAGCTATGGGAGAGGTTCATCTCCATCCACAAGGTGCTTCGTCACCCAGAGCGTCTCCAGCTGAGAGCAGTTCCCTTCTGGTCTGGACAGCAGCACAGGTGGGGGGATCAGAAAGGACTGGGGGGGACTTTCAGGGTGACTATTTCCCCCCCTCTGTGACACAGCCTCCACCAGCTCCTCTGGAAGACAGACCAGGGATAACACAGTTCCCCCCCCCATTTGCACTGGGGGTGGGGTGTTTTTATAAACATGGTATCAATGCATCACAGGAGCTGTTGCCATTCCTGTTCTCCAGCCCTATCCCACCTTCCGGGGAGCACCCCCAGCCCAGTCATCCTGTGGGGCTGCAGGGCTGGAGAGGGAGCTCAGACCCAGCTCAGACCCTCCTGCACCAGGAGCAGCCTCTGTATTATCCCCTTCACCTGTGTCCCAGGGCTCTCAGGTGCCCATCACTGATTGTGCTGGGTTAAAACCCTGGCAGGTGGAGGAGGCTCTGGTTTGAGACCTAGCAAGCCTTTCCTCTGCTTTGGTGTGTAGCTGCTACGCTTCTTATTGTATCTAGGTTTGCTTCTGAGTGTACACAAGCTGTGGTTCCAGTCCCCTACATGCAGCACTCTTAGAGCAGCGACAAAATCCTCCAGCGATGCAGAGTGGTGAGTGAAGTTGCTGGTGTGGAGGTTATGGGCAGGTGTATCTCCTGGGGCAGGGCTGTGGCTCTTATTGCTTTAAAAAAAACCAAAAACAACAACAAAAAAACAAACCTCAATCAATCAGAAAAGAAAACCCCAACAAAAAAAACCCTTCGGAAAAAGCAACACATAGCTGATGCTGTTGCAGTTATATGGGTGGCATCATGATGTTTGATGGTGAAGTGTTTTTCTCCTTGGCAGCTATAGGGGACAGAGCTTTATGTGCATGCAGCTGTCTGTGCGAGGCTGCAGTGTGGGACGGTAGGGCCCAAAGTCCAGGCAAGAAGTGCTGGGAAATTAAGTGAAATGTGGCACCTGGTTTCTCTTGTATTTGGCCGCAATGAACCTCTCTGTCTGGAAGGAGAGAGCTGGAGGGAGGACAACAAGCTCATGTGGTTTTGGAGGACAGCCTGCATGGCCTGCCCGTGCCTGGGCGCTGCAGGGCTTGCTGTGCTCCCATGCCGGTTGGGTCTAATCCTATCTCGGGCACGGATCTCTGCCGTGTCGCATTGTGATGCAGGACTCCGGCCCTGGATGGGTGTGTGCAGCTTAAACCAGCACCCTTCCTGTGGGTGAGCTCGGGGTTCAGCCTGGACCCCGCTCTAGGGTGGGGGTTTGCCCTGGTTTAAGCCCTTTCTCAGCCTGGCACTGAGCAGAAAGCGTTTTTCTGCTCTGCGCCGCAGTGCTGGCGCGAGCGGTGCCCGGCAGCCCTGGCCCTCAGCTGCCCTCTGTGCTTGGCCAGCACAGCGCTCTGCGCAGCCGTCTGCCGCCTTGGCTGCCGACCAGCCTGCCCGAGAGGTGTCCCGTGCTGCAGAGATCTCTGCCCTCGTCCCTTCCCTTGCAGCACGGCGGAGGTGACCCCAGCACCGTCCCCAGCGTGAGCCGTGCCGTGAGTTCACCCTCCACGTGTGCAAATGCGTTGAGACCTGCGTCGAGTGCGTTATTGTTGCAGAAAGCAAATAAGGGCTGCTGGGCTTTGGCAGCGATGTCTCTGCTCCCAAGCGTGTGTTGGATGTCAGCGTTAAACTTTATGGTGTTCAATGCCTCATTTAAAGAGTGTGACTAAATGTCCTTCTACCTCCTGCTCATGAGGACACAGGGGCTTAATTTTATTGCCTCGCTAGTCACCAGAATCAGGGCTGGACCTTTTCTGGGAAAAAGCCTGTGTGTGCATGAGCTCCTCCACCCAGAAATTCTCCTGCCCTTCAAAAAGGGAAGGAAAAAAACCAATGTACTATCTGCTTTGAGCAGTTCCTTTTACCAAGGTGCTGCTGTGTCCTGGCAGTGAGAGTCACAGCCATAGCCTGTCACACAGAGCACTGAGGATGCTCTACTTGGGATGCTCTATCCTTGCTGCTGTGGGCATGGGGCTCCCCAAGTCACCCCAACATCACCTTCCCGTGGCGGTTCATGTGCCGAACGTGGCTTTGTTGGAGCAAACAAGACTGTGGTCCTGGACTGATTTCGTGTTCCACTTTCCCATCACGGTGGGCATCTGTGCCCAACAGGGACGTCCCACTGCAGCCCGGGGCTGTGGGGCTTGGAGCGGTGACGTGCCACTGGTGTGCAGCCAGGGCTCCCTATTCTCGGTGGCTCCCTGGGAGCGCTCGTTTTCTGGAGCAAGAGAAACAATTCCTAAAAAGGAGCAGTCAGATGGAAAATTGATACCAAATGGTGATATCAGTCCCTTGAGGAATAAGGTTTGATCTCTCAACTCATGGTTCCTGGGGGTTAGGACACAGGCAGACAATGCTATTTTAGAGGTTTTTGTTGTGCTTTTTTTTTTTTCTTTTAAAGTTTATTCTTTTCCCCTTTTGTAAGTTCATGATTTTCCCAGACGCGAGCTGGCTTCAGATTTGATGGTGATGGCACAGGCTGCTGCTTTGGATGTGTGCAGCATCCACAGGATACAGAGGGTCTGTGGAGCTGTGCCTGGCCCTGCTCCTGCTCCTCCACAGCTCCCGCAGGGCCAGGGACCATCCCTAGCAGCTGACACTGGACTGGGGGTGTTTGCCAGCCCCATGTGGTGGTTGTCCTCAGGTAGAGGCAATCCTTGGCAGGCAATAGCCATCCTAAGGGTGCCCACCTGGTTTCCAGTCTGGAGATCCTCCTCATCTCCACTGTTGACCCCTGTGACTGCAGATGCTGCTGCTGAGCACCATTTCTGGGGGTATCCAGCTGAATTTCCACACTTAATAACATTTCTTGTGTCTGCACTGCTCTGTTAAAAACCCATCCTCCCTACATGACCCAGTTGCTTTCTGCCTTTTCCACTGGAACTGTTTTCTGGGCTGGTTCTTGTAGGAAATTGCCTGCTGAGCCACCGGTGCCACGGACAGGAGGCTTCACCTGCCTGCGCACCGTGGGGCCGTGGGCTGCGGTGTCCTGCTGCACGTAGTGCCAAGCACGAGGCATTGCACGGGCCAGGCAGCCGTGGCAGGGAGGGAGCTGAGCTTTGCAACTGAGCTTCCAGGGAAGGAATTTCCAGCAACTGCAGATCCCATCCCCAAAGGCAGCATTTCAAGGAATTACCCTTTCCCCCCTCGCTGCAGACTTCCTCTGCTTTTCCAAGTAAGCCCCTGGCTTGGGGCCACGTATGTAGAAACCAGAGCGGAGCAGATCCATGGGAACGTCAGAAGGGCTGGAGGTTGGTGCTGGCCAGGTTCACAGTGCATGGCTCTCATCTGCATCAAGTGCCCCTAATTAAGACGCTGAGCCGCTCCCTCTTAGCTGCCTCCCTTGTGAGCACCACGTTTCCAGTGTGCTGGATGCCACGAGGAGCAGTGAAACTGCTTTCAGTGCCAACAAAAATAGTGATTAGGATGTTTTTTTGAGCACTATTTTAGCAAATAGCAGTTCCCAGTGTTGGTAACTCAGTCCCCTCACTTGTGGGACCCTTGCAGGGCTGCTCTGGGTCCCGGGTGTGCTGAGCATCCCAAAGTGGTGCAGAGAAGATCCACTGTGGGGTCCAGCTCACCGGCACCCCTGACAACCAGCCTGACCCCACGGGGAGGCAGAGACCAAGGGGCAGTCCCTGCCTGCCCAGAGAGCTGCCAAACAGCCCCATGTTTGCTCTTCCCCCTTCTCTAGAAGATGCTCTGTGCACAGCATTAATTTCCATGCCCCAGCGGGGATGGCTGGGGGGCTCTGAGGAGGCGATCACTCTCCCTGGCAGGGGAAGGCAGGGATCACATTCCCTTCTCCCTGCTTTAATGGTGCTTGGTGCCCTGGCGGGTGCATCCCCAGAGACATACCTTGTGGATTTTCTTTGGCTCATAAATATTCCCCTGGCCTCCCCAGT